TTCTAATTGCATAATGCATTCCTTTTATTTCTCCTTGTCCATAGGGTAGAGAAGAAAGGAGAATCGATCTGTAAGCTATTCTCAGGTTCAAAGAGTTGTTTGGAATTAAAGTTCCTATGGGTGATGCTTATGAAGAAAACCTTAGTAGGTTAAAAATGGATGTTTGCCAGACAAGATACAATTATGAATCTAGCAAACACTACTCTTTTCAACTTTCAAGATTTCCTTCAAAAACAAAGCCCCTAGGGAACTCTAACATCAAACCAGGGAACTTCTTAAAAATCCATGCCTGCCTTCTCCCCAACCTCACTAACTAAGAGCAGCCAATACTGGAATAACAGCTAAAATTCATGGTTGCCATGGCAATCCTGTCGAATACTTGATGAGGGTTCCTCTACAAAATGACCATAGGCAGATGTTGTATAATGTATTAGAACATCATTTCGTTGTAGCAATGTGCATTCATGATCCCTGTGTAACCTGAATAAATTGTCTTTGAATTACTCTGGATCCATACTTAAAACTCAGACACTCTGCCCTACTCAAGAAGGAAGAAAAGAGGGGTCAGTAAAGGAACAGGATCATAGAATTTAGAGACAGAGGAAATGTTAGATACCATGTAAGTCCAACCTCTTCATTTTATAGAGAAGAAAACTGAAGCCCAGAGAAGGTGAGCCATTGCCAGGATCACATAAGTAATAAACATGAGAACTGGAATTCAAACCCAGGTCTTCCCACTCTAAGTCATCTACTTTTGACATTATACCATATTATCAATCTTCTATCATCCCACTTGCCAACCCAAGTACCCTAAAGACAAAGAAAAGAAAGAAAGAGCTTTGAGTTGTTATCTAGTCCTCTTACTTGGTTTTTGGCCTGTGCTAAATCACAACCTCTTTCTGCCTTTTTCTTCACCTTTAACCTATAATCTAATTCAGGAAAGTATATAAACATATATATATACACACACAGACACATACACACACATATGCATATACATAAATATATATACAAATATACTTACATACATACACATATACATATGAAATACCCTAGGACTATAAAAAATAAAACATTAAGCCTTCCCTCATGGAGCTTATTATATTCTACTGTGCCTCAGTTTTTTTTTTCTTTTTTCTTTAATTTTTTTTTCCATATACTTTTGAGTTGAAAATTTTTTCTCCCTTTTTCTCCCCCCCACCCTCCCCAAGACGGCACACAATCTGACATACACTTTACATTTACATACCCATTAAACGTATTTTCACATTACTGAAGTTGTAAGTAAAAATTAAAACCAATAGGAGGAACCATCAGAAAGATGAAACAAAATTCAACTTAAGGTAAAAATAAGTGAGAGCAATTCGACTTCCATAGTTCTTTTTTTGGATGTGGACAGCATTTTCCATCCTGAGGCCTCTAGAGATGTCTTAGATCCTCATAAGGCTGAGAAGAGTTCAGTTTAACATTCTTAGTCATTGCATAACGTGGCTGCTGTTGTATACAAAGTCCTCTGGGTTCTGCTCACTTCACTCAGCATCAGACCATGAGTCTTCCCAGGTTTTTCTGAAGTCAGCCTGTTCATCATTTCTTATAGAACAATAGTATTCCATTACATTCATATACCACAACTTGCTCAGCCATTCCCCAATTGATGGGCATCCTTTCAATTTCCAATTCTTTGCCACCACAAAAAGAGCTGCTATGAATATTTTTGTACATGTGGGTCCTTTTCCCATTTGTTTGATCTCTTTGGGATATAGCCCTAAAAGTGCTATTGTTGGATCAAGGGATATGCACATTTTTGTAGCCCTTTGGGCATAGTTCCAAATTGTTCTCCAAAATGGTTGGATCATTTCACAACTCCACCAACAATGTATTAGCGTTCCAATTTTCCCACATCCTCTCCAACATTTATCATTTTCCTGTTTTGTCATGTTGGCCAATCAGATAGGTGTGATGTGGTACCTCAGAGTTGTTTTGATTTGCATTTCTCTAATCAATAATGATTTAGAGCATGTTTTCATATGAATATAGATGGCTTTAATTTCTTCATCTGAGAACTGCCTATTCATATCCTTTGACTATTTATCAATTGGTGAGCCTCAGTTTCTTACGTAAAGTGTGGATCATTTGATGACCAAGTTCACAGGGCAACAGGAGGGACCTGAGAATATCTACTCCAGATCAGGTCTTCTAACCTACATGTCCCTTAGGGTTCTGTCCTGGACCACCTTCTGTTCTCCCTCTATATTATTTCATTTGTTGATCTCATCAGCTCCCATGGATTTAATTTTTACAAATGACTCTCATATCTACCTCTCCTGCCCCAATCTCTGCTGACCTCCTATTCTGCATCTCTGACTTTCAGACATCTCAAAATACATGTCCAGCAGACATCTTAAACTTGTGTCCAAAACCAAACTCATCTTGGCCAACTAAACCCTACCTTCTACTTTCCCTATAATTGAGGACAGCAATACCATCCTCCCAGTCCCCTAGGCTCACTACTTAGAAGTCATCCTGGATTCCTCACTCTCTCTTGCCCCTATATCCAATATGTTGCCAAGGCCTGTCAATTTCACCTTGGCAACATCTCCCAAATACTTTCCCTTTTATCCTCTGACACTGTCACCACTTTAGTGCAGGCCCTCAACACTCACACAGGGATTGTAGCCTGCTGGTGGGTCTGCCTGCCTTCAAGTTTCTCCCCACTCCAATCCAGCATTCATTCTGTCACCAAATTGATTTTCCTAAAACACAGGTCCAATCATTTCACCCTCCCACTCAATAAACATCAGTGGCTTCCTGTTGCCTCCAGAAGCAAACACAAAATGCTGTTTGGCATTCCAAGCCATTCACAACCTAGCCCCCTCCGACCTTTCCAGTCTTCTTACACCTTACTTCCTGAAACATATTCTTTGACTTCCTGGCTGTGCCACAAGCAAGACACTCCATTTCTCAGCTCTGGACAATCTCTCTGGCTGTCCCTCACACTTGGAACACTCACTCCTCCTTTGCTCTAACTACTCACCTCCCTGGCTTCCTTTTAGTTCCAGCTAAAATCCCACCTTCTACAGGAAGCCTTCCCCAACCTTTCTTAATTCCAGTGGCTTCTCTCTGTTATTCTCTGTTTATCTTGTACATAGTTTGCTTTGCATATATTTCCTTGCATGTTGCTTCCTCCGTTAGATTCTAAGCTCCCTGAGGACAGGGACTGTCTTTCGCCTCTTTTTGTATCCCCAGCACTCAGCACAGTGCCTGGCACGTGTCCATTCCATTCCGTCCTTTTCAGTTGGGGTTTTCTTGGCAGAGATATTTAAGTGGATTGGCATTTCCTCCTCTAGCTCATTTTACATATAAGGAAACTGAGGCAAAGAGGGTTAAATGACTTGCCCAGGGTTTCACAGAGAGCATCTGAGGTCAGATTTGAGCTCAGGAAGTTTTCCTGACTCCAGGCTCAGCACTCTATCCACTGTACCACCTTTCCTGGCATATAGTAGGCACTTCATATTTATTAGATACAAATAATTATAGTGTGTGAAGAGGTGAGAGGAAGAGCTGACCAAGTACTCTAGGGAAATTTCAGAAAGAATACTTTTAGTCAGAGGAAGAGGAGGGTTACTCTCAAAATGTGTCCTCCAGAAAATGGCCCTTGAGCTGAGAATGTTTCAAAGGGTCAGATAAGAATGAAGTGCATCTCAGGCACAGGGGGTTGCCCATCTGTAACTCACATGATTGTAGTAAGGGAAGCATTTTGTAAACTGTAAAGCAGTTTGGAATGTGTTATTCTTGTTCTTCCTATTATTATTGTTGAACCAAGCATGGCTATGATACTGTAGGGGTCTCCACCAACTCCAGACCTAGCACTTAAGCTGAGACCTGGTTTTTGTGCATGTTCATATCAGGTTTGAAAATTATATCATTCTGACATTCCATGAAGAACATTTTCTGGCATTAAAATAGGCATAAACTGTTATAAACCATAAAACATATATAACCATAAAATAGGTTAAACTGTAAAACCTGTGCTCCCCCATGACCCGCCCTTTTGGGTGGTCACCCCTTAAGTAAGGGCCGATCCCAATTCAATCAGCTTTACCACTTTTAACCTTCACTTCACACCCATTTTTGATATTAGTGAAGGTAGCAGGTGGCTCAGTGGATAGAGCACTGGGCCTGGAGTCAGCAAGACTCAAGTTCAAATCTAGCCTCAGACACTTCCTAGCTATGTGACCCTTGTGCAAGCCACTTAACCTCTGATTGCCTGATGAAAAGATCCACTGGAGAAAGAAATGGCAAACCACTCCAGTATCTTTGTCAAGAAAACCCCACGGGCAGAGGTCCACAGGGTCACAAAGAGTCTGACACAACTGAACAACTTTCTTTGGGGTTTTTCAAATCAACTAGAAAGGCTGATAACCCAAAAGGTTCCTAGTAAAGTGCAAAATCACATGGACCTGGCAAATTTCTTTGGGGTACTCACTATACATGTAAGGAATGACTATGCTGGCAGCATAAATGCTCAGGTCAATTTGCTACAAGAGAATCCACTCTTCAAGTAGCATGACATGACTTAAGTGAATCCCCTCATAAATAGCCCTATTTTTCTATGGCATGAAGGACTACAAAGCACTTTCCTCACCATACCTCTATAATACGGGTAGAGAAACAATGATCACTCCCATTTTAAAACCAAGGAAATCTGTGCTCACAAAAAGAAATAATTTGCTCAAGATCACACAAGTTGACAGGAGCAGAGCCAGGATCAAAAACTAAGGTGTGTAAATTTTAGGACTCTCAATTCAGTGGTCTTTCCACATAGTGGTCATAAGGCCATGTAGTGCAGTGGCAAGAACACTGACCTGTGAGTCTCAAGACCCAGATTCTAGTTTCCATTTTGCTACTAACTAGCTGTGTGATAGTGTTTCCTCTACTTCACCTGGTTTCCTCATTTGTTAATTATGAGTAAAAGCTACTCCCTCTGCCTGCCCTAACAGGACTCAGGAATCATGGATGTGAAAAGTGTTGTGAAACCCACAAAGAGCAAGCATAAGGCAAAGCTGCTCACATGAAGCAGAAGACAGCACTTGAGGGGGAGTCAAAAGACTTGAGGCTCCAATCCTGCCTCAGCCAACAATGAGACCCCATCACCAGGAGCAAGTCACAACCTAAGCCTGTTACCCCTCATCCATCAAGGTGAGGAAGATCAAATAGATAAATCTCAGCTAGGATCCTCATTCAAGGATTCTAATTCCTGGCCCTGCCTCTCACTACCCCGCTGTGAGCATGGGTAAATTACTGAGCTTTTCTCCAAGCCTGGAAGAATAAGATAATTTTACAGTCTGATAGGAACTCAGCAGCCATCTAGTCAAGCCTATATACCCCCAAAATTTTCATAATACACTTGTATTTGTCAAATCTGAATTTGCTATGAGATCACAGGAACACACATCCAGAAGTGGAAAGGACCTCAGGGCCTAACTTCATTTTATAAGAGGAAAACTGAGGTCCAGGGTGGTAAAAGGACATGTCAAAGGTCACACAAATTGTTAAGTGGCAGAGAGCTATTTTGAATCCAAGCCCTGACTCCAAATTCATCATTCTTTCCAATGTACAATTCTGCCACTCAAGAGGAAGGAGTACAGGGGGAGTAAGAGAGGGTCTGTTCCTCATTTAATTCTCTGAGGCCAAATGAAACAAGCTCAATCTTTTACATAAAAGCCACTTATATGCTTAAGACAGCTATTGTAACCTTGTAGCACCACCCACAAAATCATCCCTTAAATATTCTCTCCAAGCTAAATCTCCTACAGTACCTTTACCCAGCCCTCATACAGCAGGGACCAGCCTGGGTGCCCTCTACATCCTTTCCAGCTGCAACTGTTACCACTCTTATCATGACCAGAACTGAACATAATATTTAAAATGTGATCTGAACAGGGGAGAGAACCTGAGTACTTGGAGTGTTATCCAGACTGTATTACTGATGGCCTCCCATTGCTTCTCAATGCAGCCCAAAATATGTTAGCTTTTCTGGCTGCCATGACACCCTCCTGATTCATTGAATTAAATCTCCCACATCTTTTTCAAACTTCTTTCTAACCATGATTCTCCTATCTTGTACTTATGAAATTGATTTTTACTCCAAGTGTAAGACTTTACATTTAAATTTTTTAATTTCATATGAGTCATTTCAATATACTTGCCCATCGATATCTTTTGAGACCAAGATTACTCTCTTCCAACTTTGTGTCATCTACAAATCTGATAAATATGTCACTAACTCACTGACGATATTAAGAAAAGTGGACATCTTTCACTCTTTTGTAGACGTGGGGAGCCAAGGTGGGTCCACAGGTGGGAAATAATGAGTGTGTCAGATTTTTTTCAATGTAGTGATCACTTTTGCTGGAGTTTTTTCTCTTCTTTTTCTTTTTAAATCCTTTTTCTAAATCCTAGGTGGCCCTCTATAAGAAGAAAGGGGGAAGATATCAAGGAAAATCTAGGTGATGTAAAAACAAATTATAGCAATAAATTTTTTTTTAAGTGCAGAACCAAAAATAGATCCCTACTCCACTAGAAACTTCCTGGCCAGGTTTCAATAGACCCACCCTGTAAAGAAAACAATCTTCATCCTTCACAGCACTTTGAAAACTTTCATTAAAGAAATGTGAACCAATATTATCATAAGGTAGCAAATGATAGCTTAAAAGATCACTGATCAGCTTCAGCTTCTCAAAGAGGTTCAAATTAGAATTCAAAGTGATAAAGAGCAAAGTTACCCATAATTATATTTACCCATTTCTAACAGATAAAGAAAACACAAAAGTCCAATACCATCTTACTAAAATGTAAGAATGCCCCAAAATTTAACTTTTATTAAAAGCTGAAATAATCAAAATTACTCTTAAAAAATACTTTCCCCAAAATGTTACATCCCTTTTCACCACCCTGGCCCCACAACAAGAATGAGTATGAGCAGAGGAGAGCTGTCAAGACACATATCACATATGGGGACACCCAAATGAGGTAGCAACTTGGGTCCTGAAATCATGCCATGCCACCTACAGTCATTCTGGCAGAAATACCTACTTTACCCCTGGGTAAATTACTTAGCCTCTCTATGCCACAGCTTCATCATCTGTAAAATGGGGATAACACATCTCCGTCCTCCCTTTAGGGTTACTATGAGTAAAGTATTTTGTAAACCAAGTGCTATAAAAAATGAATCACAGAAATTCAGAAGTCATCTCATCCAACCCTTCTCTTTACAGAGCAGGGAGCTATTATTGTCAGGAGTGTGGTACTAAGGCACCAGTGTTTCTTTTTCATCTCTCTTCAAGATGAAGTTACTGATATGGGCATGCAATCTTTGATCAAGAAGTGAGGTTGTCACCTCTTAAGACCAACAAATTTTTAAAGTCAGCAAAGTTTACAAAACGTAGCTTTACAACATCTTTTCAAAATTAAAGGCAATATAAAAAAATGAGAAAACTGGTTAGACTATTCAGCTAGCTGTAGAAACTCCTAGGATTCTGAACAATCCCCTCAGAAAGGAAGATAATAGAATTTAGATCATCTAAATCCCTCATTTTAAAAATGAGAAAACTAAGGCCCAGAGAGGCAAAGTTCTAGGTATTAGTAGAACTAAGCTGTGAATAGAGGCCTCCTATCTCAAATCCAGTCTTCTTTCCACTGCTCTGACTCTAAATTCAGTGCTCATTGCATTAACAGATTACTACAATAGCAACCTCACCACTCCCACAAAAATACTGAGGACAGATATGCTATTGTATTCAAATGGATGGACACAGAAACAACTTTCTTTTTCTCCTGGGATGTTTGGGGCTGGGGGAGAATGTACTACAAGAGAAGCAGACCAAATAAACTAGACAAAATGATGCCTGACTTTCCCAGGCCTTTATCCGAGCCTTTCTTCTGAATCAGTACACTTCCCTCTGCATACTGGACACTCCAATCTCCTTTTAAGAGTCATTAGGAAGCCCAAATAACTTCACAGTCCCTGCTTCCCGGCTGCTGTCATATTTGCCATCTTTGTCATCACAAGCAAATGCCAAAAGAGGTCTTTTCGGATGCCAGGCCACCGTGAATGTTGGGGACTCACACTGCACCTCCCAGAGCTTATCACCTACAATCAACATACACAGAAAGAAAAAGTCAGATACATTCACATACACATTGATTAGAAATAAATTTTACATTTCTTTACCACTTTTAAGACCTAAAAAGAACTTCTTTACAATCACTCTGTGAGCTAAGTAATATGTAAGAATTATCCTCATTTAAAGACGAAAAAACTAAGGCTCAGAGAGGTAAAAAGCACTTGTCCAAGGTCACAGACCTAGGAAACACCTGGCAAAATCCATTACTCTTTACACTCCATCCCACTGTTTCCAAAACATAGGTAAGACTAGGTGATTCTGGGACACTTACTCCATTAACAAAAACTTTTAGGAATAAAAAACAAGATGGTACAGAAGGTAAGTTTTCTCTCCTTTGAAACATAACTGCACCAAAAACAAAGAAACTGAAGAATTAAAATTCTTTCAAACAAATTTTGACAATATTTAAAATATTGAACTTTTCCAACAAAATGCAACGTAAGTCAATAAAAACCCATATATACAGCCTTACGGCTTAGGAAATGTTTTCCTCATAATCCTATGACGTAGGTAGTTTATGTATCATTTCCTCATTTTGCAGATGAGGAATGTAACAAGTTGATCTGTACATCAGAAAGAGGTAATTTTCATATTGGGTTTTCACCCAGATCCAAAATCTTTATAAATAAAAAAATCTTCCCCTCAGTGTTTTTCAGTCATTTCCTCAAATTAAGATGAATGAAGGTGTAAAGTCAAGGTGCCTCAAACCTTCCCTCAATCTGACTTCTTCAAATCCACTACAGGTCACTTTCTCCATATAGAACACTAAATTAGCATGAATTTCCAGCTAGTGGATATTCATCACTTCATTAGCATTTCAAAAGGCTGTCAAACTGCTTTACTCTAACTTCTGATACCACTGAGTGAGGCTTTTATTATTCTCCCAAAGAACTCTAATTTTGCATATCTATCAATATTCTAAAATGGTGTCAAAGGAAACTTTATAAAATCTTTTATCTAAAAATATTGAACATTTTCAGGCTTTAGAAACAGAAGTGAAAGGCGGCTGCAAATTAAGGAAACTTTTTTAATAGATACAAAATGCAATTCTAGACATAAATGGACATAATCTACCTCCACAACCACACATTTGCTCTTATGAAATGCAAAACTACTGGGGTGGAGGGATGTTTAGATAATACAGCTCACTCACAAACTGATTCTTGGGTTCTTTAGAAAACCCTTGAGTTTCAGCTCTGCCATTTACTACTTGTGATACCTTGGACAAGTTATTTCAGATCAATTTTATGAAAGCTAGAATAGACATCTAAGGTCTTTTCCAACTGTACTTTCTGTGATTCTGTGAAATGGGTTTATTAAGCACATATCACTGGGACATGGTGGTAATCTCCTTACATGGAAATTTTTTACCTGTCTCTACTTCAGCAATGTCAATAAAGTGATCTTCAGATGCTGATGCGAGCATCTTCCCATCATGGCTAAAGCTGAGGGTTCTTACTGGCCAATCCAATCTGCAGCATAGGGAGAAAGTAGGATTAAATAACTCATGATTAAATAAAATTCTTTTATGTATAACACACATATGTATGACTGGAAAAGGAAATGGGCTAGTCCCACAATACGAATAGATGGACAGCCTGAGTGCCGAGTTGATATCCACAAAATATTATGCACATTATATAGAACCAAAAAGCCTCCAGCACACTGTGTGAACCTCATCTGAGAAATGTAGAGAACAAAGGAGAATAGCACAAAGGAGGCACAGATAGGCAGAAGAGATGAATGGCCAGGAAGTGCTACTGACCTGGAAAAACATCTCACACACACTAATTCATCAACATCCCAAAGGCTAACCAGTGCATCAGCACTTCCTGTGGCAAAGTACTTCCCCATGGGGTCAAATTTGATACAGATGCAATTGGAGGGATGGGCATTGATGGACTGCACAGGCTTCAGCTCAGGATAGCTAGGAAGAAAAAACACAAAACAAGGCTCATGGATCATCTATCCACATACTCAAAATGCAACCCCATGACACCCTGGAATCTCCATTATTGGCAAAGGCATTAAACTGGGAGTTGACACAAATTCTAACTGACTGTAGGGAAACCTGACCAATTACATTTGGTCTTTCTGATCTACATTTTCCTCACCTGTGACATTAAGGGATAACATTCATAGTACCTATCCTTTTTACCCCTCCCATGACTGGAATCTGTTCCCTCTTCACCTCTTACCTCTTAGAATCCCCTCTGGCACGTAGTAAGTACTTCATAAATACTTTTCCCTCTCAAAGCTTATTTCAGCATCGCCTGCTATATGAAGATGCTCCTCATTCCTCCAGCTACTAGCGCCTTTCTTCCCCCTCCACAATTAACTTGAACTGATTTTTGTATATTATTTACACGTACATGTTGTCTCTGCAACAAAATGCACAGTAACCTCTTTGAAGGCAGCAATTATTTCATCCCCGTCTTTTTTCATCCCCAGGGCCCAGTACATATTACCTACTTAATAAATGCTTCTTGACTGATTACCTTCTCCTAGGATTGTTTTAAGGAAAGCATTTTTTAAACTTATAAAGCGGTTTTACAAACATGAGATCAAAGTGACTTTTCCCTTCCTCACATTTTTCTCAGTATACTTTGTTTCCATCTATCATTAAACCTCATCACATTCTATTTAATATCACACTTTATAAATATCTCATTTTATCTTCACAACCACCCCAGGAAGGAGGTACATCATTGTCCTCATTTTGTAAATGAGGAAACTGAGGCTAAGAAAGGTTAATCGACTTTCCTAAGGTCACAAAGCTAGCATCTGAGACAAAATTTGAACTCAGGTTCTCCTGACTCCAGATCCAGCTCTTTTCACTGTACCACCTCGTTTCCTCAATTGATGCCACTAATATAATTCAAGCAAGAGAAAACAAAGACCTGAACTATGGTGGTGTAAGTGAAAGGCAAGGAAATTACAATACATCTATGCTGGTCTACTTGCTGTTCCTTGACCATGATACCCCATCTACCAGCTCCCTTCTCTTGCCCTGGGTCTCCCCATAACTGGAAAACTCAACCTCCACCTGTTGGTTTCTCTGGTTTCTTTCATGACTCAACTAATTCCACTTTCTGCAGGAAGCCTTTCCCACTCCCTCCAGCTGCTAGTGCCTTCCTTGCCCTCTCAGAATGCCTTTCATCTCTTCTATAGATCTAACAGGTAATAATTTACTTCTTTCTCCTCATTACAAAGTAAGGTCCTTGAGGGCTATTTTTGCCTTTCTTTGTATCTCCAGCACTTAGCATAGTGCTTAGCACGTGATAAGCACCTTATAAATGCTTATTGACTGAGAATTTAAGCTCCTCAAATACCTGCAGGAAAATGAATAGAAAATGAATCCTCAAAATTATAATGGCCAAGCCTGGCCCCAAAGAAGAAATAGGAGAAAGCACTTCCTCTCTACTTCTTTGTAGAGGTGGGGAACTATGGGTATGGTTCACTTTATATAATGTTGGCATTTTCAATGTGTTGGTTAGTTTTGCTGAACTTTTTTCTCCTTTTTTATTTTTCATTATAAGGGGTAATTCTTTAGG